AGGCTTCTCGCTGTCTCTCCTGATTTGCTCTCTCACATAAATGGATGTGGTAGAGGACCATAGAAAGTAAACAGAACCATTTTTTTTTCTTTCTTGCAGTCACACCTCAGTAATAGCCCTGGTTTTTATAGCTGAAAAATATATGTTTATTTGCTCATTAATTTCCCTCTCTCTTTCCCTTGCCTTTTCTTGGCATTGGGTAGAATGTTATTTAAAACAAGACACAGTTCAGCTTCAAAAAGAAAAATCATTCTGCAGAATACAGCTTGGACTCGTTTACCATTCATTTATCATCCCTAAGCAAGTAGGGTACAGATATCTGTATTTGGTATATTTTAATGATTTCCAGCGCAGTGACTCTTGTTGGCACCAGGATACAGGGGAGCAGTAGGCTCTTTAGGACTTTGAGAAGTGCCTCAGACTGTTTAGAAAGGACATGGAGAAGATTAAATGTGGCATATGCAGAGCAGCTCCATGATCATTTATCTTCACCGCTTTCCTTCAAAGATGAAGGCTGGTGCTTGGAGGATAGACTTGACCCAAAGTCCTGAGATTCTCTGCGGGGAGGGGAGGGGGGGCGGTGCTTGGAAACCTTTAGTTTTTTTCTCCTTTGCTTTGAAAAAGCTTTGGTTTTTATGTGTCTCCCATTTCCTTCATGTAGTGGGCAAATAAATAATGATATGCCTAACTCAGTGCCCAGTAAATATTTGTTGAGTGAATAATTAAATGGAATGTTATAAGCTTGACTAGGATTATTGTCTTGGCATGAAACATGCAAGAATAGACTTGAGGCAATCAAGTAATTTCCCTTAACAGCACAAGCTAATTATTTGAGAGATGAAGATCTGGTGCATAGTATTTATTTGTCAGGCTCCATTTGCTCCTAATTAAAGGTAGAAGAGTTGTTTGTAGCATTGAAGGGATGACATAGTGACCCACTCCTACATATCTTTTCAATTTTCCATGCCACTTTTTCAGGGAGAATATATCAAGGTGAGGGTAATGTGCATTCTTTTGTTTATTTATGTTTTCTTTCATTTCTGTTATCATTCTTTGAAAGGCAGGCAGGGTGTGGAGCGGGAGTCCTTTGACAGTGTACTTTGACAGCCCAGCTGCCTGCATGATCCGTAGTTGACTCTGCTCACCTTCGTTGACTAATACACTCGTCCTCCCATAAAAATACCACTTGCTGTGATCCAAGTTGAAAATGCTGCAGCAGCATCATAAGCCTCAGGAAGTTTCATTCATTCCAAAAATATGAACTCAGAGCCTAATGTGCATAAGGCTCTGTGCTAACGCTGTGGATTTAGCACTGAGCAAACTGCACCATGGTTCCTGCCCTCATGAAGCTTACAATCTGGAATGGCTGACAGATATTCTTAATTGAATAATCATTCTCAAAATCATAACCTGAATTTTAAAAAGGAGAATATAGCTCTACTGCACCATGTAACAACAGCGTCTGATTTATACCAGGAGACCAGGGAGAATTTACTAAGGAGTAGTCTGGAGCTGAGAGCTACAGAATGTCTGAAGAAAGGGAAAGAGCATCCCAGGCAAGAAGACTATCAAATGCAAAGGCCTGTGTGGCCTGTGTGGGAAGAGCAAGGGCTGATGGGAAGGCAGAGCCACACACTATAGTGCCTGTGCATATGTCACATCAAGGACTTTGACATTCATCCCATGAGCATTAGAAAGACATAGAAGTGTCATATGTCCAAGGGTTACAGAGTGAGGGCAGGGACAGGAGACCTTATCAGATCTGTGTTGTGAGGGAGAAATATAAGAATACACTCATTCTTCACAAGCATAACAAGCGAGGTGATCATACTGCGCCCTAGATAATCCTTTGTTGCATCTGAGCTTCCTGGAAATTCTTACCTTCCCACTGCCAAGTTTCAGAACGACTGTATCTTGATCTCCAGTTGTGTGCCGGGGAACACACGCACAGCCTACTGCTAACCATGCAGCAAAGGCGTCTCCTCATGCCAACTTGTCTAGCCCCTTCTCTTATTTCTGCCTTTCCTTTTGATGGGGGGGCGGGGAGGGTGGCGTAGCACAGTTTATTCCTGTTTTTGGCAAAGTGTGCATGGCATGACTTCTGGCACCTTCTCTCCCCTCTAGTGGTGTGAACTTGGCACATGGCTTAGCTTCTCTTTTAGCCTTGCAGAGTTGTTCTGAGGATTAGTTGAGTTAATACTTGTAAAAGACAGAAAGAGGAGTGGCATGTAGTAAGTACTCAATTAATGCCAGCCATTATGACTAGTAGATAGGTGTCAAAGATATAGTGTTAAAGTGAAAAAAACACAAGATACAAAACTACGTATCATAAGAAGGGCTTGCACTAGTGCATTCTTATAAGTGCCAAGGAAATGTCTGAGGATACACAGTGGTTACTTCTGATTAATAGGACTGGGGCTTAGAGAAAGGTAGGCAGGTGCCTTTATTTTTTCATCTCATATTCTTGTAATAGTTGATTTTTTTAACTGTGCAACTATATATTTATCTAATAATAAAGTCACAAAGAATAGTTTAGAAACTCCATTAATATTATCTAATATGTCAATTTTAAAGAAAAACAATTATTTCATTATTTTTTTTCATGATTTTATTCACTGTTAAGTTTGGAAATATCATTTAGAAACTTGTCTTGGGGTA